TACATCCTCAGCCCCTAAAATATATTTTATTATGAAAAAATCAGGTGGAGAATGTTGTGTTTACTGTGAAATGGAAGAAATAGAAGTGTAATTGTGTATGGAACTGTGGACATGGGCAGCAGGCCCCAATCTTAGCTGAAGAACTATTAGCATGTGATTATTTCTAGGTGAGGAAGAGCTGATCTTCTTAAAGGGAGGGACTGTAGATAGACTGACTAGACCTCAGTGGATGAAATTTCACTGAGAGTCATCTGGGGACACTAACTTGACACAATAGGCTTTAACACAATTGACAGAATGAATGAAATCCAGTTGGGGGGCAGCTATGCGAGAACGCCAGTGGGGAAGGGGGTATAAAGATGATGAAGATATTCTGTATGAAATACACAAAAATTCAATTAAAATTACAAAAATGTAATTGTATACATTTTATGTATTTATATTGAGGTGTATACATATCTGTATACATGCAAGTGTATACATTTATTTGTGTATAGATGCATCAGTGTATCAACAAACAATGCAAGGAAAACCAATATTTTAAAATGGTTACCTATAGGGAAAGAAAAAGAATAAGGCAGAAGGGCAAAAAGTTTGAAGTAAGCTTCTTTGAATATATCTCATTCTGGAAATTTGCCTTTGTCACTATGAAGATTTTATATAGTTACAGAATTTTGAAGTAATTTGATGACGCCCTCCTAGTAAGAAATACCTTAAGACTGAGAATACTGCAGAAAAAAAATTGCAAACCAGTTCCTAATTCTATTGTTGGTGGCACTGTTGGCATTATTCGCAAACTGTTGTGGCATGTGTTTGAGATGAGTATGGTGGTTTGAATGAGAAATGGCTGCACATAGGCTCATGTATTTGAGCACATGGTCTCCAGCTGGTAGTGCTATTTGGGGGAGGTTATGGAACCTTTAGGATGAGTAGTCTTGCTGGATGAAGTATTGTCTTTTGACTTTGAGAATTTATAGCCTTGATGCACTTTCAATTCTCTTTCTGGTTAGTGTTTGAGGTTGAATATGTGATCTCCTAGCTTCCTGCTCCAACTGCCTGATGCTATGTATTCCTCTCCATTATGGACTCCTCCTCTGGAATTACAAACCAAAATAAACTTTCTTCCATAAGCTGCTTTTAGTCATGGTGTTTTATCACTGCAACAAAAAGTAACTAACACAATGGGTTAAAGCAAATGAATCATAGCGTGATATTCTATTACTAACACACCTTTTGGGATCTTAAGGAAACAGATTCTTTACAGGCCTCTGGGAACTTGCTCATATATTATAGCAATGGTTTCAGCATGCACAAGACCCATGAAAATGCAGTCAGACAAAAACCCAGCATAGAACTGGGGAAGTGGGCAGCAGGCCCCAACCTTAGCTGATGAACTATTGGCAGCTGATTACTGCTGGGTGAGGGGAGAGTTGATCTTCTTTAAGGAAGGGACTCTCGACAGGCTGATTAGACTCCAGTGAATGAAACTGCACTGATGGGCATCTGGGTACAAAAGCTTAACTGGATGGGCCTTAACATATATGACAGACTGCATGAAAGCTGGTATGGAGGTGTATGGAGGGTGTGGGTGGGAAAGGGGGCATGAAGATGATTAAGATTTTTTTATGAAACGAATGAAAATTCAATGAAAATAAACACTGAAAAAATTAAAACATACTAAATTTAAAAACATTCTCTAACTCTGACCATTAAAAATATTTAGAAATAATGGGCAACCCATTAGGAATAAAAACCTCTTAGCAGCAAAATATGTTGCCCTGAGAAAATAAGCCTTTCCAGTTCAGCATCATATGATCACGCAAGATCGCGGCAAGGGAACCATCTCAGACCACGGGGTTCAGAATCAAGGGGTACAGGAGACAGGACAATTCCCTTAGTCAAAGACGGTTGAGCTCGAGCATCAATAAGGACAAATAAAATGGAGTAAAAATTGCTCGCCACAGTACAGTGGCAGCACAATAATCTATTCTTTTGAAACAGGTAAGCAAAAAAAAAAAAAAAAGTTGAACATTAATCTTGTTTTTCCAACATAAAATGTTATCCAAGCAGATAAGCTTCTCTTTATTTCAACTAGTAAGTAGAGAAAAAATGATAGAATTATGTTGCCATTTAACAATCCCTTAAGGAATCAATCGGTCTATGCCTTATCAACTGTAGCTAATGTTGCTAATGTTACAAAAAGACATGGAACATTATAAGGCACAGGATAGATTACTATATAGAACCAACATAAAATGTTATCCAAGCAGATAAGCTTCTCTTTATTTCAACTAGTAAGTAGAGAAAAAATGATAGAATTATGTTGCCATTTAACAATCCCTTAAGGAATCAATCGGTCTATGCCTTATCAACTGTAGCTAATGTTGCTAATGTTACAAAAAGACATGGAACATTATAAGGCACAGGATAGATTACTATATAGAAATCTTGCCATTTTTTCCTCTCAAAAAAAAAAAAGAAAAGAAAGAAAACGAACTGCAGTGTGGTTAAGCTTCCAGATTGGACTATTGTCGTGGAGCAATTTCCTCTGAACTGAAATATTCCATCCTGAAGATAAGCTCATTAAGTCTCAGAAAATTCTACAACGAGGCTCTGTTAAGACTCAGAAGAGAAAACTGTCCAGGTGGGGAGTCTGGAGAGATGGCTCAGTGGTGAACAGCCCTTAAGTGCTCTTGCAGCAGTCCTGAAATCAGTTCCCAGCACCCACACTGGGCTGCTCATAACCATCTCTAACTCCAGCTCTTCGGAATCCTATGTCTCTGGCCTCCAAGGGCACTCATGAGCACATAGCCTACGCCCACAGGCACACACAGACATACACATAACTAAAAATAAAGTAAATCTAAAACAATAAGACTCAGGAAGTAAACAACTCAAAGTCTCCATAAATCCTTGAAACGTATCAGATGCACAATGCCCCTTCCTTTTCAAGCTTGCAAAAGCAGAAAGGGCTGCTGATGAGACTCTCTGACCTCTGAAACTTTTTGAAAGTCTCACAGAGAGCTCCAGGGTTTCAGATTTCATGAGTCATCATGTTATTTTGGGTGATGCAGTTGTCTTTGAGTCACCCCTGATTCTGTAAGTAACTCCAATAAACTCACCAAGTTGGATTTAGTAGTATCATATTTTGGCCTGTCATTGGTTGGTTCCCTATCTGGGGTGAGGAGAGGTTTGTTCATATCTCCCTAGGAATAATCTCATAGCACAACTATCAATTAATTTTTAAAATTTTTATGTATTTCTTTTATGTGTATGAGTGTATTGCCTGCATGTAGTTAAGTGCACCCATGCATGCAATACCTGTGGAGGCCAGAAGAGGGAGCTGGAGCCCCTGGAACTGGAGTTAAGGATGGATGTTAGCTGCCATGTGGGCGCTAGGAACTGAACCCGGTTCTTCTGCAGTAACACCCAGTGCTCTTAACCGCTGAGCCATCTCTCCAGCCCCAACTACCAATATATAAATAATAAAATTCTGAGATCATACCACAGAGACTGGTCTGCTAAATAAATTAGAAAGTGGGAGACTCATAGAATTCATGATCTTTGCCAGGTAAGCTTTGTGTGTGTGTGTGTGTGTGTGTGTGTGTGTGTATTCAATCCTGTAGACTAGAACACATGGTTATAATGAGATATCACTTGGCACCTCTAAGATTTTCAATAACTGCAATGGCATAACAAGTGTTGACCAGTATGTGGAGAAACTGGAGCCTAGTACACACTGCTGGGAATGTAAAATGATGTAGCTGCCTTGGAAAATATTTTGGCAGCTCCTCAAAGTGTGAAACATGGAATCACAACAGCACCCAACAACACCCCCTCCAGGTACAACCTAAGAGAAATGAAAACCTACCCACACTTGAACCTGAAAGCTCACAGCAGCACTAACTACACATAATCACCCCCAAATGGAAGCAACCCAAATGTCCAAACGGATGAATAAAACGTGGCCTGTCTGTCCACAGAGTGAAAGATTGCTCAACCATAAAAATGAAATGCTGATAGATGCTCCAGTGTGGCATATCCTGGGGGGGAGGGGCATTATCCGGAGTGAAAGGAGGCATACAAAAAAAAGGGTACATATTGTTCGAGTATATAAGGAATCCATAGTGAAAACAGACTGGGGACAGGTGATAGATTTCTGATTTTCTTTTGGTGGTGAGTAAACATCCAAAATTAATTTTGGTAATACCTATATGTCTGAATATATTAAAAACTTCATAATCGTATGCTTTAAATGGGCACATTTAGTGGCTCTTGAATTATATTTGAAGAATGCTATTATCAAAAAAAACCCCTCACACACATTAAAAAAAAGCTATTCTGTTGAGAATTAAAAGAATGACAGAAGTTAACCCTGCATTTTGAATAATATTAAGGAGCAATTAAATGGTAAGCTATGATAAGGGCACCATGGATGCTTTTTCCTATTAACAATATATGCCAAAAAAATTTAAAATAAGGTATATTCGCCCAGCATGGTGGAACACGCCTTTAATCCCAGCACTTAGGAGGCAGGTGGATCTCTGTGAGTTCAAGGCCAGCCTGGTCTACACAGTGAGTTCCAGGCCAGCTGGGATTACAGGGAGATCCTGTCTCAAAAAGACAAATAAATAAATACACAAATATATAAATAATAAATAAATAAAATACGATAAAATAAAATAAGGTATACTGAATTTGCTTCAAATCCCAAGAGGGAGAAGTGGGTAGAGGTGTGGAAGAAACATGAGTTACCTGTGTGCAAGGCAGGTGAGCATTACGTGTGCTCTGGTTTAATACCTGTTATCTTTTAAAATATTCATGTATTTGTTTTTACTGATTTAGTTGTTGGTATGGAAATGGAACCCAAGGCCTTGTGCACGCTCAGCATAAACTCTGCCATGAGCTACATTCCCAGTCCTATTTCTCATTTATTTAAGTTTCCATAAAATTATATATTCTTTGAAATACAAACCACACACTTCCATTTGTTCTTAAGGCAGGTTAGTTTAATTTTATAGAAGAAATCCTTTCAAATGATAAAAATGACACAATCCTAGAGAACAGTGACAAAAACAGAGATGAATACTGATTATAACTTATTTCCACAACAGAAGATTATTTATTTCAGCAATAATCACCAAAGCCTGACAATGCAGTGATTAGATAAAGCAAAAAACCCAATTCCCTTTTACACATAGTGCTCTTTCAGAGACCCTGATGGCAGAATTCAGACCTCTGAAGGACCAGAACAGCTCAGAGATCACAGGTTTTTGTTTTTCTCACCAGGCCAGACATATAGACAAACTTACACAGTAGATCGAAACTTTTATGCCGTAAAGCCCACAGGATTTAAATGTGTCCAAAATGGGCAATATTTTCTGGGCACAGTAGTTTTAAGAAGCCACCAGCTGCCAAGCCAGATCATTGTGTATACAGCAAGAGAGGGTGTGGGCTGCCCTGCCTGCTCCAGCAGCAAGCAGCCCACATGATATACTTTCATATACTCAACTTTCCACGTGCTGCAAGGAGGGATGATAGGGAAATGTTAATACGAAAAGGTGCCAGAGGCACATGCCCCTCCTCAGACTGACCCCAAAGCAGGGGTTGCCCTTCCTGTGGGATAAGGGTAGGAGGACAACACTCCACACAGAAAATTGGTATAGGGTGGCCAGTAATATTTTTGGAAAATATGCCTAGGGCTTTTTGTATTGGCATAGTGGGTTTTCCTCAACTGTTACCTAATATTGGCTGGCAGAAAAGCTATCTCAACCTACTTAGAAAAGTGGCCTGGGGAGAGCTGTATCTATGAGGCAGTGTCAGCCACAGTTGACTCTGGCTAGGGGTAAAGGTCCCAATGGCCTGCGGGCACAGTGAGAAGGTCCACTCAGCAATGATGCTTGCTACTAGCAGTGCTCGAAAGACTGTCGCCTTGGGTCTCCGCCTCTATTATAGGTTCTGTACAAAAAGGAATTGGGGAAAAAAAGCAAGAAAAAAAAAAACAAGGCTAAAAGCAGGAATACATAGCAAGAGATGACAACTGTGAAAAAGATAAGGTTTTCAGTCTTACCACCACTGACAAATTCCATTGTCTGTGATTGGTCGTATGTCAATGAAATGCTTTTACAAAATTAATTTTTTTTAAAAAATCACATAATGAAAGTGGGTTATACAAGGAGGTTACAGACTAATGAGAAAAGAGACCTAATTAAAAGGGGCATTTCTGAGGGAGGGGAAGCTAGATCTAGGAAGAGAGTTCTGTTTTCTTTGGCATGCCCTATGATTACTTCATTTATTCATTCAAGGCCTCAGAAAGGAGAGCACATTTCACATCAATAAGTGTGCGACAGGCAAACCAAATTGTTTAAAATAATCCTGGCATATTTTTATTCCATTTTTTCTCTTCCTCATGAGCTAGCTCTAAGATTCCATGAGGGATATTAGGTAGACTCCAATATGAGGGTGACATTCTGATTTCACTCAAATATTCTCCTGCTCTGACTTGCTTGGTAATCCAAGTTACCTGCGTGCCCTTTTCTACACACACACACACACACACACACACACACACACATACACACACACACACACAAACACACACAAACACACACAAACACACACAAACACAGCACCTTCAAAGGTTATGCCTCTGCATTCGTATCTGCTCTATTCACCCTTTTTACTTTCCTTCATGAAACAGCGGAAGAGTCCTTCCACCCTGCTGTCTATCAGTTCTGCCAGGAGTGGCAAAGATGTCTGCATATGCTTTGACAAATGCAGGTAGTGTGGACCGTCACCAGCCACAGGTGTATAGGCAGGTTGAAACCTGGGAAGCCGGAGGTTCTGTCGCCAGCTTCAGACTTGTGGGAAGCACAAAAAGATGCATTAGACGACAACACAGCAATGAGGGGTCGTCAGTGCCCACGACACACAGGATACTGAACCCTGCAATGCATACACGGCTTGCAGAGTATGACTCAGCCACCCCAGCTGATATTTTAACATAACATACAGAGAGTGAAAGTGTACAATATACATGGTAAATGCACCTATGAGAAACTGATACACATGACAAGTTCAGCACATAGTGTTTGCGTTTCGGGTGTCAGAAACAAAACCAGCCCCAAGTTCCATTCTACTGCATGACAAATACTGAAGAACAAAATTTCAGTCTTAAAATACATCTTAAAGTCAGTATTTTCCTTCAAGGAAAAAAAGTACTATAAATAAATTACAATACAGTGAATTTGCCTGAACTCACTTCGTTTCTGTCTTCCAGCCTTTAAGTCAAATAAAACAGCGTAAAAACTGTACACTCTTAACATGATAGTTGATCTTTTATAAAATAACCTGTCTTCAGAGATGTCAATTTCACAACAAGGAAGAACCAAGCCCTGTTGCCGTCACTATTATAAAATATATATGTATAGATATATGTTTTTTACAAAATGTGTATATTAATAGCTTTGCACAAATATTTTAAAGACAAATTTAGCTAATCTAAGAACTTCATGAAAATAAAACAGGCAGATAAATACTTCATGTGCACAATGCACTACATCAAACGTCGTCAGCTGGGAGAGGAGGTATGTTAATCCTTGGTCTTGTAAAAAAGGCTATCTTCTCCCTAGGATTGGAAAGAATTACTGGTTAGAAGGGGACTGAATGGTCTGGGGTACACACTGGCAGAGTACATTTCTAGCACATGTACAAGTCTCTAGTTCAACCACCAGGACTAAACCAAACCAACGAACCAAACATAAAACTCAGAGCTGAGTTTAAAATCCCCAATGACACAACTGTTGTATGAAGCATATGGAGACAGGGGCGAGTGTGCTTATCTGCTGTACCTAAAATGCTACTGGGGTATAGTAGGCATATATATGCATGCATGGAAAACACCTATACATATACAATAAAAATTTAAAAATTAAAATGTATACAATTATAAAGATCAGAAGAAACCATAAAAATGCTACTTATGGTAGGAAATGCTGTTTACAGTAGATTCTTAGTGTTTTCAGTGATGACCATGCTTTTTATATTAACACAGGTGTCATGGTGATAGGAAAGTAGTGAGAAGAAATGTTGAGCACAGGTTCTATTTCTCTCCTACCTAAAGGTCTGCACTTGGATGGGCTCCTTGTGGTTCTGCCCACGCAGCTGGTAGATCTCTTTGGAGGCTTTCTTCAGCATCTTCTCCGCCACTTGTTCTTGGTGGTAGTCAAGTTTGGTCTGTCTTGTCTGCAATAGAGCATTTGATGAGCAATATTTTTACTACTACTGGAAAAAAAAAGAGTGAGTTTAGTCCCATCCTTGGAATTTGGAACACCAAACCCCAGCCATGGAGATCCAGAAGAAAGGCCAGCCTCATCTGTGACCATAGAGGAAATCTTCATAGGACTCCTGGGGGTGGCTGGAATCAAGCCTGGTTGACTGTGAACCCAAAATATTCTCTACACAAGGCAAGGAAGGCCTGGGTGTCCTTCCCGCTCATCCAAAAACCTCTAGCTGTTCACTCTGTTGCCATCACAAATGCCACCTTGCTAATCACAGCAGGGGAGAATTTCACAAGATAAGTGCTAGGATACTTTCAAGTACAATATCACTATGATGATGCTCACCACCGGAGCACAGACAGTGACTATGGGCGGGTAGCAGCCAGAGAGTTGGTTCCTAGAGGGAACTCAGAATAGGCCCTTGACCTTCTCTCACCTGGCGCTCAGCTTCCTTTAGTAGGCTGCGGAACCGCTCATCCCGAAGCACCCAGTGTGGGAGGTCAGTCTGGCCCCGCAGCTGGGCATCTTCTAGACGCTGCCTCAGCTCTCGGAGGGTGCCTATCTCCTCGTTCAGTTGCCGCTGCCGAGTCCTCGATGCCTGGAGGTCCAGCTCCAGGTCCAGAGAGGTGCGGGCCATGAGCTCCGCCAGGGAAGACCTGCAGGACTGTGGAAGGCAGGGGGCACCAGTGAGCATGTACACCAACTTGATCTGGTACAGGCCCCTTGTGAAAGATTCTTCAGAAATTTGTAGATGAGTGTGGTGCAAGTATTTCTCTAAGTTTGGCCCAATCACATTTAAAAATCATATTTGAACAAGATTAAATCTGTACTGCAATATCAAGATTACTAACTGCAAACTATTTTCTTTAATGTTGGCCTACAATTGTGTCTGAATAATGGACCTTCTTATATGCAGCCAGCAGGATAAAAAAAAATGAACACAATCTTTCAGAAATATCATTTGCTAACACACGTCGAAAGCTTTGAAATTTCAGTTTTGACCTGCATCTGAAAGGTACAATTGCCAGGGGATAAAAGTGGCCCAATTAAGTAAGCGTTATGACACGGTTTTATCCCATAATATGTAAACCATAAATATAAATATTATATAAATTATATATATATTAAAACCAGCAGGAAACTGATTCAGTATGTTACATGGAGAGATGTTCCTGGCATCCAGAAGGGACAAGTCCAGGAATTATGCTCAACATCCCACAGACTCAGTTCAAAATATCCACAGTGCTGCTCTTTAGACACTTCTGCAGCTGCATTACATGCTCCCTTAGATTTCTCTGTCTGCAGCTACTCTGAGTACAAAATCCTATGAAATCTTGGATTTTGAAAATATCTATTCTAAAGGATCCTTGCCCAGAAAAGATAGGGACCTATCACCTTACCAGCTAAAACTTTATAAAGCCGCCATGAAATAAAAAGACTTGATTAGTAAAACAAGTGAAAACCATAGAACAGTCCTTTGTAGAAGTATACTGTATGTGAAGAAACTCAAATTTTGAGTCTGGGGAGATGACTCAGTGGTTAACAGCATACACTGCTTTTGTAGAAGATGCAAATTTGTGTTTCCAGCACCTATGTTAGGAGGCTCACAACTGCCTGAAACTCCAGCTCCAGGAGATTGATGCCTTCTTCTGGCCTTCACAGGTGCCTGAACTCACATGTACACATACTCACACATCATTAAAAACAAAAATAAATCTTAAAAAAGAAACTAAAATTTTCTAAACTATAGTTTCTTGTCAGAAAGGAAAAAATAACCTATTACATAGAAATGATTGTTCATTACATCTAAGGATATAATGATCACAAATGATGTGAAATCACATTTTAAGAAATATTAATAGCCGGGTATAGTGGTGTACACCTTTAATCCCAGCATTCAGGAGGCAGAGGCAGATGGACCTCTGTGAGATGGAGTCCAGCCTGGTGTACATAGCAAGTTGCATGGTCCACTGGGGCTATAGGGAGACCCTGTCTCAAAACAGTCAAAGAAAAGAAATATTAATAACATTATGACATTATTACATTTTCTAAAAACATGTTACCAAGAAATAAAAATATTTTTAATTAATATGACCTTAAATATTCCCTACAATATTACTTTTTTAAAAGGATTATGAAAATAAGTCACAGAGAGAAAACAGATTTCATATTAGTTTCTGTGGCACATACCTGTTTATAGCGAAGGGTTCGTCTTTCCAAAGTATTTCTGACAAAGGGGGACTTCCGGGGCAGTGTTGAACTGTCGCTGTCACTACGATAAAGCTGCATCCAAAAGAATGGTGTTCAGAAACAATTTATACAAGATTCACTATTTTCTTTTCTCTTTATCACTCTCTTTTTTTCTGTGAGACAGGGTCTCACTATGAAGACCTGGCTGACCTGGAACTTACTGTGTAGGCCAGGCTGGCCTCAAATTTATAGAGGTCCACCTGCCTCTGCCCCACAAGTACAGGGATTAAAGCTGTGAGCCATGACACCTGGTTACTATTCATTTTTCATGTATGCTGATTGAGATATTTTTCTTTTTCCTCCCAGTCACTTAAAACACATGCAGGACATTTTCTGGTGTTTTCACTGGGTCTTTGAACCTAAACAAGAGTTTTAAGGGAAACAAAAGACAAAACCAAACCGAAGCAAACATAAAAGCTGCTTTTTGGTCCTTTTCATGCCTATCAACCTAACTACATGGAGTTTCCTCATTAATCCAATCAACTGCAATCCTACCCTATGTGTATCAACTCCACCTTGCTATTAGGTGTGGTGCTTATGAAAGTGGGTACTGTCCTCAGGAGATTTCACTGTTTAACAATTGTTCACATTTGCTATTTATCAGGTTTTGGCAAAATGGCTTTCTGGAAAAACAGACTCATTGCTGGTAGTAGGACAAGCCAACATTCTCCAAATCCCGCTGTGCCAGTCAAGGGAAAAGGTGTGGCTTAAAGAGCAAAATAAAGAATGCTTCTTTATGAGAGCCCCTACGGATTTCATGTGGTGGCAGATCAATGCGTGTCTGTGTGAGTGCCCAAGTTCTTGCCTTTCCCAGCCTTACTTTCTGTACCAGTTTACACTAAATATTGAGGAAACACAGTGGCAAGGCATCTTACATGCCCTGTGATCATACCAACATGTATATAAACAAGGATTCTAATAACATTACCAATAAACTCCAGCTTTTAAGCAGGGCACAGAACCCAGCACAGCAGCTGCCAGTCTTCCTCTGAGAGAGCAAATTGGCCCCACCTACCACCCTATTTTCAAGGAGCAGCTGAGTTCTTTCCCTGGCGGTTCTGTCAAAGTGTAGGATAAGGAAGAAACATCAAGATGGCATTAAGGTCAGTATATCCAACCACCTATAAATGTCATGGCCATTTGCCCTAAAACAATGTCACTGTCCAGGTCAATGGTGGTCACTGTAGCACTGCCTACTCACCTCAAATGCACTGTCCTACCTTCATTGACAACACTGGCTTGGGTCTCCCATCCACCTACTTGAGGTTCTCAGTCTGGTGTGCACATGAGAACCACTTGGAAGCTTCATGTCCCACCTTTGACCAGTGACAAATCTCTGGGATTGGGACCTGGATGTCAGTATTTAGTGGAGCCTCCCAATATGAGATGACTGCATTTCTCTACCGTCATCCAAAAAGTATCAATTTCCATGTGGGTGAGTTGGAACCCACTCCTTAGCACCTGCAGTCTTCAAGATGGCTGGTACCCTGCTGCTCAGGCACGTGACCGCGCTTCAGAATTTCGAAGCATAAAAAGGACACCCAAGTGCTACCTGTCTGGAGATTGTCATCCAACTCAAGACAGGCCCTGTTTTGACTTGCTGTTTCTGGGGCTGATGTCAAAATATCTCTCTCTGCCTCCTGACCATGGGATGGGGCACATATGGCACTTAAAGTCAGAGGGCAAGCAATGAGGTAGAATTCTGAGGAAATCCTGAGTTCAGCAGACTTAGGGCCCGGTGGAAAGCCGCGTGTCCAGCCCTCTTCTAATCTCCATTCACATACAGTGTTCATTTATACATTTTCATGAATTGTAAGAATACATGTATTTTAGCAGAAATAGTAACAATGAAAACATGATAAAGAAAACAAGGAAGAAAATGTTGCAGACTGGGGACAAAGGAATTCCAACTCACCCTGCAAACATACTGGCTCCTTGCTCCAGGTGAGAAGGTTTGTGAGCGCACTATGGTGCTGCTGCGAACGAAAGGCGAGCCCCGGGCCCTGCGGCTGGGCCGCTCTTTGCGGACGCTCACCGTTTCCTCCAGGAAGAGGTCTTCTGTGGTGGTCTCTTTGTCAACCTAGGGGCAGTTCATTTATCACTAATGGCTACTTCACTGAGAGCACAAGTGGTACACTTAGTGTGAACAACTGCCTCGCCAGTGTTTCCCCCTGCTGGTCTACATGCCTTTTCCTACCTACCAACCAGAAGGCACACTGCTGGAACATGCAGTAGTTCCTTCTCTCTTCAATCTCTCTACCAATGCCTCTTTTTCGATTTTTTGAGAGAAGGTCTCACTGTGTAGCCTAGGCTGGCCTGGCACTCATTATTTATCCCAAGCTGGATTTGAACTCATGGCAATCCTCCTGTCTTGGCCTCTCAAGTACTGGGACTACAGGCATGTGCCACCATGCCCAGTGGTTGTTCTCTTCTTAATGCTCTGAAGAAGTGTCATGCCATTTTCCATAGCGATGATACCATCTCAGAATCCTGACCTTGCCAAAATGAAAATGCAAATTTATATTTTTAAATGGAAACCCTTTCTGAAATTTCAAACATTTCTAACCATATCAACTTCACTTCCCAATCATCTTGTTTTTTAGTGACCCCTTGACTATTGAAAACACTGATTTATCCTTCCTTTTGCCCCACCCTCACCTTCCAGTGGACATTTCTGTTTCGTTCCTTGTATCTGCAATGCCTAGCACCTACTGTGTTCACAGGACAAAATAGAATGTAAATGTGGGGAAGAGGACCCCTGATGATGGGAATATGGGTACTCATTGCATCTTTTCTATAGATTTCAAGTTTTTTGAAATAAAAAGTTGAGAGAGAGGAAATCATCAAGCTAACCTCCCCTGCCACTCATTTGGTGGCTGCTACTTTCAGGGTTGTGAACAACAGAACAGCAGCGATTCCTGGCAGCCTAGTCTAAAACATCGACTTCAACCTGCTGCACAAGGTACAACAGAAGAAGCTATGAAGGCATAGACTCATATCCAGTGTCACAGGGGCCAGGTGCAAACATGTGGTTGTGCACTGAACATTCAGGGTAATACAGTTTCAGTGAAGAAACCGGGTCAACTAAATGGGATGGATGAGATGACCAAAAGGGGCAAAGAGATATTTTGATTTTCTTCTTTTCCTCAAGAAACAAAGGTGGGGGGGGGCAGAGTAACAGGAAGTATTACCTCCCCAAACCTTTGGGACCCTGAAAACTGTCCCAAGCTTTTTTGACCCTTAAGTTTGGAATGAATTACCACAAATGATATACACAGGAGTCAAAAGCCCCCCCCATTTAAGTTACAGCTGTCTTTTCCTTGTAATCTATAGGTGATGAACACTTCCATAGGACCTGCTGAGCCCATGTTAAAGCCTTTCAGATCAATTGATGTGACTGTTCAGCATTCAGTAAACTACAGCCCTTGCTTGGTGGTTATCCTCAAATCCAATACCACTGTCTACTTATTGCCATGTATCTCCATATTCCCCAACACCCACAGGCTACATAGTTGTTGGAGAGCATGTGTTATACTCCTGCATGCGAACACATCAGTCCAGCTTTCCAGTGCCTCTCCTCCACCCTGTCCCTCACACTTCCCATAATAAGTTTGGGGACACACCCCTCTCCTTCCAGGTCTGGTGTGGTACTATACATTCAAAGGTCCTTTGGATGCTTTGTACTTACCTTAAGAAGCAGGGGTTGAAGTTTCTCAGGACTGTAAGGATCTGCCTGGCCAGTAAAGACATGACCATGAATGGAATCCACAGCAGCACAACAGGGGTCTGGGTAGTGGGGGCTGGTCTGGGTGCAGTTGCTACAGCCACTATCAACCGAGTCAGCCTGCCAACTCCTAAAGGTGGACATTGCAAGAGCCCATCAAAAGCTGATCAGGGGTGACTTCTTTCAGAGCAGAGTACCAGAAGGAGCCAAGTAAACCTATTTCTTTTCAATGACTGAAGATATAGCTTTGAATGTATAGCTTCTATCCCCCAAAAGCAGAAGAGGTATTTCTGCCTCCTAGGGAAGACAGCACTTCAAAGCCATTCATGAACAGTCTATCTTTTAAGTGTCTTCTAGACATGACAGGGAAGCCGCAGTCATGAAATCTCAACAATATGGTTGCCTAAACAAGACCCGCATAATGACACCACCAGTGGACATGCCAGCATAGATGGGGAAATTTCACAAGGTCCCAACTCTAAATGAAAAGATAAGAGCAATCAGTGGGTGCTCATAAAGAAAGAGAGTCAGTTTTCTCCTGGGATGAACTCCCTGATAGATTATCCAGTTCCAATTGGATATATGTATAAATGGATATATGTATAAATATATAAATATACATATATATATACAAAACAATAATAAAGAAGGGGTCACAAAACTGAGGAGTGGGGAGACTTAGGAGGAGCTGGAGGGGTTAGGAGGGGTGGAAATGATGTGAATATAATACTCAAGTATGAAATTCCCCTAACATTAAATTTTAAAAAGATTAAATTAAAAAATAAAAAGAGTATGTCTTTAATACCCAACTGCATCTACCTAAGGTTCCAGGAACTCTACTAGAGAACCCCTTCACCTCAACTACTTATCCATTTGCTTTAGGTTTCTACAGTCAAGGACTCTCCGATGGGCTGCTTCAGGCAACATGCAAAGTGACACTACACGATTATGATGATTGTATGGTTCCATTTAGGAACATGACCAGAAGGGGAAAGTCCATAGAGACAGAGTGGTTGCAGTTGAATACAGCCAGAGGAAAGGAGGAATGGGTGTGACTGTTCTTTTCAGCATCTTGAAAATTCTCCACAACTGACAGTGGTGAAAAGGGCACACTGTAAGCATACCCCAGACCCGTGAGATGTAAATTGCAGATGGATTAAATCTCCATAAGGTGGGTTTTAACAAAAAAAAAATAGTGAAGGGTAGCTCAGTAGCAGAACACCTGTTGAGCTTGCATAACGCCTTAGGTTTAATTCCCACTACTATAAAATAAATTCTTGAAAAAAGTTTTATTGAATTTTTGTGTATTTCATACAGAACATCTCAGTCAATCTTAGTTATCTTTATACCCCCTGCCCCAATGGCACCCCCCCTTTAACCGCCCCCACTGGAATTCACACATTCTGTCATTTGTGTTAAGGCCTATTGTGTCAAGTTAGTGTCCCCAGAGATGTTCCTCAGTGCAAGTTCATCTGCAGAGATCTAGTCAGTCCATCTAGAGTCCCTCACTTTAGGAAGATCAGCTCTTCTTCACCCAGCAGTAATCAGTTGCCAATATTTCTTCAGCTAAGATTGGTGTCTGCTGTTCATTCCCACAGTTCTATGCTGGGTTTCTGTCTGCTTGAGTTTGCATGGGTCTTGTGCATGCTGACACCACTGTACCTTTGTATGAGCAGGGTCCCAGGAGCTTGTGGGATTCTATTTCTCTATGGTCATGTACCTCTACCCTGGCTCTTACAGCCTTTTACAAAAAATCTTAAAGGGAGTCTGAGGCAGGCATGGAAGCATTTGCCTATAATCCCAGCACTCAAAAGGTTGAGGCAAGAGAAGTTCAAAGCTATTCTGGGCTATATAGCAAGATCCTGCCTCAAAAGAAAAAGAAAATAAGAGGCGGGGGAACCTTTGTTATATTTAGTCCTGGCAGAGGGCAGTCTTGAAAAGAAATTCTGGAATAAAAAGGAAGAGGACTGGGGTACAGAGGTTATGGGATTTCCATTGTCCAGATCAGCATGAAATTCCCCACCAAACTTAGGCTCCCAAGAAATGGTACAGAAGCCCCACTCAGAACATTCTAGAGATGCAAAGAGGAGGAAGCAACTTGCTTCCCGAAACAGTCCTGAGAGCCACACTGACTGGCGCTGGGCACTCTAGTCTGTCTCCAAGTGTCTCACTGCCCTAAGGCTTTATTCAGAAGCTCTATACCTCTTCCAGGGGCAGAGGAGGACAGGGGAGCTGACACTCACCTCTCAGACACAGCCTCGCCCTGTTCTTCCTTACGCTCCATTTCCAGGATCTCCTCCTCAGTATACTCAAGCTTCACTTGCTCCTCAGCCAGCTCTCTCTCCACAGCTCGCAGCTGTGCCGTGGTTCTGGCCAACAGCACTGTCACTGCATCCTAAAGGAAGAAAGGATGCTTCTGAGAACCAGCCAGCCATGCAGGTGACCTAATCCCACCATCCACAACAACTCACTTTTTGCCCCGTGCCTATAGCTCTGTGTGTACAAAATTGGACAAAACGAACATGCCACTAGTGATCCCAAACATTTTTGTACTAAAAACACATTCTTATGAAGTGGCCTTAGGTATGGATATGTTTCTTTTAGATTCTTTCTCCTGAACTTACTTTGTTGATACCATATGGTGACTTTGGTCTACATAGAATCTGCTTAGAAATGTCTTCCCCAAGCAAAATCTGTCTCAAAATCAAGAAAACAGTCACAAAAAGATTGTTGCTTGAGCTAGGGCCAAGTACCGTCTTCCCCGAGGCGGCATGCATGGTGTCCCGCGTGGCACTCTCCACCACCCGCACAGTCTCTCTCAACTTAGGTGGCTCAGGGCTGGCGAAGACCTGCACAGTGTACCAGTGCAGCTGCATGTCGCTTGAATTCTCACAGTCGGCCAAGTTTATCTGAGCAATGCCCTGCATGGGTGTTAAAAATAAAAGCCAGAACCAGTAGTAAATGATTTCACATAATAACTGCAATCCCTTCAAACATCTTCACAGTTCAGTAGTAGGAAAAAATAGTCCACTCCTATTGGAAGAAGTCAAATATTGTGAATGGGGTTCTCTCTGCTTGTTCAGCATAGTTAGAAAGCACAGGAAAGGGGAGCAGGGAAGAGAATGGCAAATTGGGGTGCTGTCTGGCTCAGGAATGTGCCACTTGATGAGCCACTGATTTGCTCAAGAATTTTTGATACGGTAAAGGCTTGGCTGAATCTATACCTTTAATTTTTCCTGTTATGGGCACCAACCTGGCTGCCCACTTCTGTTTGGGGATTAGCTGACTGGTTCCTGAAGACTAACATAGTATCTTTTAAGGACTAGTTGTGGGATATCCAGAGAAATGCAGACTACCATGCTGAACTGGAATTTCAAATACATGAAGGTAGGTTTTTCTTTGTCTTTAAGTCTCAAAAACTGCCTGGGATATACTTATAGTAGCACTTATCATTTATTTGAAATTCAAATTGAACTAACCATCCTATATTTTTATGTGCTGAGTCAGTCAAGCATACTTTCTCCCTTGCCTGACAATGGGGACAATATGGAAGCTCTCTCATGGGATTTTTGCAAGCGCTGACTGAGACAATACATTTGAAGTACAGATGACAAGATCACTGATTTTCTATCCTCTTTGCTACAGATTTCACTTAACATCATCACAGTTTCCAAGCAGACTGAAGGGCGCTGGGGCTACAGGAAGACCTTGTCTCAAAAAGACAAAAAAAAAAAAAAAAAAAAAAAAAAAAAAAGAGATAGAAATGGAGAAAGGCAGAAAGATAAAAACTGGAAAGGCCCTTGTGGCTGTGACTGGTGAGCTGAGTTTGACCATCACAACCCACATGGTGCAAGGAGAGAACTGAGTCTCCACAGCACCATGAGAGTGACCAGAGGCCCTGGCTCCACACATACCAGCAGTTCTTCCTGTAGCTGCGGATTCACTGAACACACGTATAACTGAAGTGATTTCAACGTCAACATGCTGGAATGCACAGGGATTCTGAATACTTCATTGAACACCAGTGGGGCTTGGAACTCCAGAGACTTGGAGCAGTAGGTGTTTGGAGTGCCAGAATCCAGCGGGGGTAAGTAGACGCGGATGTGGCTGGGAATAGAGGGGAGGAAGCATGTTGGTAGGCAGCAAGGACTAATACACTTATTCAATGGCATGACACCTGTGTGTCCCCCACCCTTCATTTCCAAAGGACAGATGTGTTCCTATAGCTTGGAAGGAGGAGTAATGACTTGCCAAGGAAAGACTGGGGGCTCTGAGGTCCTGTGGACATACTGTTTCATCAAGATCTTTTTCGGTTTCGCCTCACAGCTCCACCTGCCAAATTATCAGCTAAGCATTCACTGGGAAATACCATGTTTCCTGTGCTTTCTATCCACACTTTGGAACTTGGCACATATTTTGGAGGTAACAAATATTTGTGACCACTGCTATATGTATCACCAGGTGAGCTGATTCCCAGTATGGATCAGCTACACATACCAGGTTGCTTCAAAAAATAATTAGAAAACTAGTTCCCAAAGAACAGTGGGGGCTTCCTTAGACCTCAATGGACTATTTGGGGGGGGTCTTTTGAGACAGGGTCTCCCTGTAGTCCCAGCTGGCCTGGAACTCACTATGTAGACAAGGCTGGCCAGAGATCCGCCTGCTTCTGCCTCCCGAGTGCTGGGATTAAAAGCATGCCACCATGCCCGGATTTGAACGGACTATTATCGGCAAAGTCCTGCACGTTGGTAAGTGAGCCCCTCCACAGGCAGCCTCTTAGGGCATGGAGGGGGGGGAGGGAGGAGAGGGAGAGAGGGAGGGAGAGAGAGAGAGACAGAGAGAGGTCCCATCACCAAGGTCAAGGTCACTCCCTGACTGTTAAGTGGTTCCAATTCCTAGTTCCTACTCCTCTTTCTAGTCAAGAACTCCCTGATCCCAGCCTCAGTCATCTTGATGCCCATTGGGGGATCACAGATCCAAGTGGGCTGACATCATCACTACCCAACCATGGGCCCTGGAAAGATGGGGTTAGCCTCAATATTGCCAATGACAGGCACTTCCTTGGCAGTACACTAGATGCCCCAACTAATTAACTAAGCTCTTTTTTTAAAAAAAAGTGTAATTCTGTATACTTTAGATAGATATTCTCTAGGGTTTTACTGTAAACTCATGCTCCAAAATACTTTTTCCCCTCCCTAATCACCAAACAGAATAGGCTATCAAGCTTTTCAGTGTGGAAGAAAGCCAGAGGAAGGTCATCAGTAGTTGCACACGGCCTCCAGAGCTCCAGTGCTAGGAGCTTACATTTTGCAGTCTTCCTTCATCACCAGCCCAGCAAGGTTCCTCAGTTGTAGCACGTGTACGAGGAGACATTCATTGGTACTGTCATGCCTAGAAAATAAAGCTCAAGTTCACGGATTGCAAGTTTCCCATGGAGGAAAACACTCTCTGATTCAACTGCAAGAGTGCACACTGATTGAGAGGCATGTTGCCTCATTCTACCCCTAGAGGACATCAGTGATATCTGGAGACATTACTTCTTGCCACAACTGGAAAGGAAAGGAGTGTCAAACAGATGGATGGTAAGGATGTAGCCAAGCATACTACAGTATACAAGATGGGCCTCCACAGCAAGAAATGACCTGCTTCTAAATGTCAACAGTATCAATACTGACAAACATGGACCAGGATAACAAGAGTGGGCAAACTAAAACTACAAAGACCCAAACATTCTGTCTCACCAGCATGAACACCATGGCTACTGCTTTTACTCAAACTGTAACTAGAAACCTGTAAGTGCAATTTTATAGATGCAAGGTGAGGACGAGGGTCCTGCTACCTATACTGCAATTAATGCTGTTAACTCCTGGCAGAAATGTGAAAGATGTCCCCAAGAGCTGGACTTTTCCTGGGACTTGGAGCACCTCAGCTTTCTGAGCCCCAACTCTAGAGCAATAGTCCTCAAATGTGACATCAGCAATGAAACACAACAATGCAGCCACTTTTCTCTTTCCCTCCTTCCCTCTACCCTTATCAACTCACCTGAGACCAGTCAAGGCAGGACTGGGGCTATCAAGAATGGGGAGGCAACACCAGGGTCATGGGGTCCCTCCACCCCCATTCACCTGTGCCATGGAAATGGGAAACCCAAAGCAGGCCCCTTCCTTTAGGGCATCTTTAAGGCTGAAAGAGGACTTGGGGTATCAAGTATGGAGGAACAAGCACCGAGGTGGGTCCCATTCCACAGGACCTCTTTAAGAGCAACTGGGAAGTTATCTTCTATACTCACAGAAATCCCACATAGATCTGGGGGTCGCTGTTTCCACATGTGTCTCCAAAAGCAGACTCTTCAGCATCTTCACTCCTGAATGCAGTGGGAAATTCACCCAGATTTATTCTAAAAGGAACTGAGTACTGTAGGTATGCAGAAGCTCTCTCATGTTCAAGGGTCTTACTGAGAAGAGTTTCATCAAACTGTGACCCAAGTAAATACGTTCATTAAGGGGCTCAAAGGGCATGGCAGATCCCCAGGACCCATGAGTATCTCATGAGTGCCAGCCAACCAGCCCCCTCTCAGTTTTAGAGACAGGGTCTCACTCTTATTCCAAGCTGGCCTGGAACTCACTATGTAGCCCAGGCTGGCCTCAAACTCATCGAAAGTCTTGCCTCAGCCTCCATTATAGGCATGAGTCACCAGGTCAGGTTTCCTGTTTCCTATTCATGTAGTTCCAGAGTTTTGCTTTGTTTTAGAAAATAACTGCATTATTTCCAAAATTTCATGTGACATTCAAGGCAATGTCCAAAAAATAAACTTTCAAAAAAGTTTCAATGACTGAAATGTCTTTATAGATATCTGAGATTTGTAACTATACAGAGAAACAGGGACATCAAAGAAAATCAATCAAAATGAACAACAGAATTCCCAAAGATGTTTTTCCATCACAAGGGGATCCTTGTATGTAAAGAAAGAAGAAAATGAGGAAATTCATTCATAGGAAACGTTCTCTCTAAAAACACAGGCCTCTTGTGTGCACTGTGCATCTACTTATTCTTTTTCACTTCCAGGGGTCTAAGGTCAGGGAACAACACCCTCCTAGAGCACAACAACACAATGAGAGCCAGCCTCCAAAGAGCACACAGAAGCCAGAGGAGTTTTGCCCACAGCATTCTCAGGCCCAACTTCAAAAAAGTTTACAGAAGCTGAGAAAATATCCATGGGCCATGAACAAAATTCAAAATCTAACCATTTCCACATAGATCCTTCGAGTGTATACCAGTAATACTCTGGCAACTGTACTTAGGGAAGAGGAAACAAAATGGACCTCCTGACCTTTTAGTTAGAGGTTCAAACACCCCGCTGTCACTGGCTAGTGAGTAATCCGACAGGCATGCAGAGACACGGCGAGCTCTTCTCTCCAACCTCTTGGCACTGTCTTCCCGGAGAGTCACTGCTGCAAACAAGGGACACACCTGGGTCAGGAGGTGACAGCACAGAAGGCCAGGACATTTTCAATCAAGTACTACAGTCACTAAGTGCTCCAGAGATAAGCCATGGCATGTCCATGCAGATAGATACTGTACACGGTTGTCTTTAAAATTGAAAATCAAAACCAAAACCAAAGCAACAGACATCTGAATAGTTTGTCTGGCCTTTTAAAAAATTATTTTTATTTTAGGCAGAGGCTCACTACAGTCCTGGCTGATGTTTCTTATCCTCCCATACGCTGGAGGGATTACAGCATGTACCATTATGGCTGGCTGACTTTGGCTAGTTTAAAACCTCTTAAACTGTCTAGAACTACACTTGGATTCCTAAAACTTGTTTTTCCCTTTGATAAGCACAAAGATGCTGCTGGTGGGAAGCCCTTTCAAATCATGCTTTAAGAAAGATTCTCAAAAGAGTCTGGGAGGGGGTAGGTTACAAGAGGGAATGGGTAAGCAAGTATAGTGGAAACGAGGGAGGAGGGCCACACTGACACTTCGTTTGAATGTATCACAATTGTATCTAACACATATGCTGAGTTTAAAAAATTTAATAAGCACATGATTAGAAGAAGCATTTCATTACAGCTTTAACATATTCAGTAACACACTCCAGAGCAAGGATACATCTCTTTCAAAAGTGGCTGTAAATTTTTAGGTTCACAGTTGAATTAATACAGTTATACAATAGTGAACTCAGTATAAACCCTGTAAGATATAAAATTGAATGAATACATATGCTGATTTTAGAAAACCTTGAAAAAAAACAAACAAACAAAAAAAAAAAACATCCTCATACCCAGAGCAACGGCTCTGCTGAGAGGTGCTATTTTTCACTTTCCTTTTTTATGGTATTTTCCACATTTTATACAATAAACTTGTTGCTTTCATGATTAGATTTTCAAAATTACCAAAATAAACCCCAATGATCTTGAAATTAAAGACAGTTTTGCCCTTTAAAAGCACTGTCTTGGAGACCTGGGGTTTGCAGAAGGTGCTAGGACTCACATCTGTCTGTTGCTCTCCCTGCAGTAGCCTCCCCAGCCCCCCTACACCAGACTGGCTCCCAAAATTGCTTCCCTGGGTTAGAATACTATTATTCTTGAGCATTTGATTTTTATCTTTCATATTTTCTTTAATCAAGAGCCAAAGATAACCACTGACATTTTCTTAACTGGTTTATACCTTCAAATGGAAGGTATCCGTATATCTATTCCCCAAACACACAGCTTGAAATCCCTTTAAGGAAACAGCAACCGGGTAACAATTCTCCCACTTCCAGATAGGTCTCAAGGAGCAACTCTAACTAAAAATTTTCTTTTATCATTACAATGGGAGCCCCCACCAGAGAAGAGGGAAAGGGATGAGCCCAAGCTGAGTCACTGAATTCACAGAGCAACTGGAAGCAGGGGTCACCGGGGTACCTGCAGCAGTTTCCCTGGGTGAGAAACGGCACAGCAATGCTCACACTACATGTCCACCTTTGGTCTTGAAAGCTAACATTGGAACCAGTGCCAATGAAGCAGGGAATAGAAAGTCTTCTACCCATTCATTAAAAACAAAACAAAACTCTGATCTTTTCCTCATTCAAGACAGACAGACAGACACCAAAACCAAAGCTGTTTATGTATATGTTGTTTTATTCAACATATACTGTTGAATAAAAAAGAAAAATAAAAAACCTGATAACCACAATATAGCAAAAGCTGCCAGTTGACATATGAAAATAAATGAATGCTATTAAGTTTTGGAGAAAAAAAAATACACACGGGGAATGCACAATGAAAGCTATTAGAATAGTTTTTACATGATTATCATGAGTATCAACAGTGAAATCATAATGAAAATGACAATAAGCTGCCATCCCCAGCCATCCTAAACATGAGGTCATTGCACAAGATGTGCCCGCAGCCTGAGCAACAAAGGGGAATGAAGAAAACATCAGGGCCACTTACAGTGAACGTCTCTGCGGAGCCGCATGAGAAAAGATAAAAAAAATCAGAGTGAAAAAAACCCGTAAGATTTAAGCCAACTATTTTAAACAGAGAATGAATAATAAAAGCATCAATAAACAGTTGAGCGAAGTCAAGATTTTTATGGATTTTGATTAGCAAATACTAGTAGGGGGATAAAAATAGTAAAGTATTTCAAAATCATGGTATGTTTGACTTTCAAAATCCAGAAAAAGACAAAACTGTAGCAAAAATTGTTGAAAATTATAGCCTACCTGTCTTGCTACCTGCCTACCTGACTGCCTTAAGGTATGAAGGCGAAAACCATGGCCTTGTGGGCTTACACAATTTAGATTTTTATCCTACTAAAATGTTATCATTAAAACTTGCTTGAAGTCAAACTTGTACTATAGAAAGGAAGGCGGAAAGGAAATGTTTGACCCTGAGCATCACAGGAATGAGGGTAGTCTGATAAGCATGTTTGCATGCTGTAACAATTCTGGGCTCCAGAGTTCCTGAAGCTCACAGGAAGGCAAGGAGTCCCCTGTGTCCAGGCGTAAGATTGGCTGCTCAATGCAGCCATCTGAAAGTACCCAGCAGGACCCAGGAATTGATTCCATCAATTATTTCCAATTTCAAAGGACATCCAGTCAACTGATAGTGTCATTCAAGACTCTACCACAAGGTGGCAATCCTGAAATGTAGATGAAGAGGGGAAAAAAAGGCAAAATCCCAGTTTAAATAGTTGGATCTTGACAGTCAATGTGAGAAGGAAAACTAAAGAAATCAGGATCAAAAATTAAGTCAGCATCTCCCTCTCCTACCCTGTCTTTCCCTTGATCCCAGAGACTCATTTGTAGACTTTCTGCACAATCAAACTAATATTCTTGAATTCCAAACTTCAAAGAAAATAGACAGGAGAGGAGGAAACACTAGAAAAGTAAGTTTAATCAAGACATATGTACAATTAATTCGTCCTTATTTCATTTCTGCTTGAAAGGAATACACATAGAGTGATGAACTTATCACTGTCAAGGAGGAAAAAGGGAATGCAGGTTACCTGGATGCATGAGTTACAGAAACAGGGTATCTGGGGATATAAAAGGGTTTTTACAAACATAAGGGAAGGCACTAAAATAACAGACATCAAAAAGCCAACATCGGCCCAGAACATAATGGTCTCCAGTTAAGCATGCAAATGCTAATAGACTCCTGCTTTATAGACAAGCTAATCTAAAGATCAACTGATCTTTCTATCAATGCATCTATTACCTAGGTAACAGAATGATGGCAAATGGAAGAAACTATAAGGATCAACTTGAGGGCAGGGAGGGTGGGATAGTTAAAGGAAAGTCTGAGAGCTAGCACTCCACACAACAGGGAACAGAACCATGGCCTTCAGGCTGGTTGTTGGAAGCTGTTTCCACAGTACCATACTGGTTTCGTATTCCAGTTTTATTTCTCACCCTTTGTTACACAAATATCCAACAGCGTGCTTCTAGGGATTTTCAGCCTCCACCTTGACATCTTGAGCTATATTGCCTTTTGTTGAGGGGCGGTTGTGCTGTGTACTACAGGATGTTTAGCAGCCTCCCTGGCCTCGACCCACTAGACCCCAGAGGGCCATTCTCTGCCTGGTTGTGACAGCCAAATGTTTCTCCAGACATTATCCACTACGCTATATAAATTATCTAGTGCTTGCCTAAACAGAATGTCTAAAACATTTTTTGCTGTGCAGATAAAAGTTAACTAAACACTTGTTCTTGGTTTTGTTAAGTTACAGTCAATAAGGCCCAACAGGTCAATGGTTTCTTAAACAGTACCCTGATATCAATGAGATGTTGAACTAATATGATGCGTGGATGAAGTCTTCTATAGCCTGGTGCTTTCCTATGTGGAGAGCAACAGAGAAATGCTTTGATACCTACTGGCATGTCTTCTAAAATGGCACAATCATGATCAGTTCCATGTTTGACAGAATTACATACTCAGAAACATGGGCATATGGCTAAAGAGATGCAGTCAAAGCCACACAGGAAGCATATATTTCCACTGGGCTACTACCAGACAGAAGTCTATGTGCTGGTGTGAGGTAAGCATACACAGAGCATTCCACTTTAGCATATGCCCCACAGAGTGCACTGACGCCCTACTACCTCTTTATCAGTCTCTGAAAATGGAAGACCATGTAGTTCTTACCACTACTTGCAATAATTGAGCAGTCTATAAACAAGCCAAATATAGGAAAGGACTACTTTGTCAAAGTCAGTTGTTCCTGACAGAGACAGCAAGGGCTAATGCAGATCTGGAGTCTTCTTAGCCTGATCAATAATTTTCAACTAACAACTTGCCAGGACTTGACAGTCACATGCCTCAATGCCGCAGCCCACAAATGCTTCCCAGAAACTCAGGTCTTTCTTCCCATCACTACTTACTTCCACTGGTGGGAGCAGCAAGTTGCAGTGCCCGCTCACGGGGTCCTTCTCCTTCCCCAGGGAGTCCATGGGGCTGAAGTATCGCAGTCCCCTGTAAATCTTCATCTCCCAAAGCAGAGGCCTGTGCCCGCAGTCTATCCAGGGCGCCCAGGCCTGGCACCTCAAAGCCATCAGTCAATTGTGCCAGGGGTGAATCCCTTGAAGCCGGGAGGAAGGGAGTGTCTAACGGTGAGCTGGGTGGTGACAGAGAGGACAGGGAGGAGCGGGAGGAGAGTGAGGCCAGAGACTGGGGTGTATCCAGGGACCTCCTCTGCTTGTGGAAGCCCAAGTGGCCCTGTGGGTCTGTGAAGGAGATGTCACGCCCCAGGGAGTCAAAGGGGATCAGATCAAAGCGCAGAAGCTGGCCACACTCCGCATCGGTCTTCTCATACTGTGGGAGACCATAGATGTCAGTGAAGCTGATAGAGCTGAGGGAGCCACGGCTGGATGCCAGTGAGCCCCGGCTAGAAGCCAAGGACCCACGGCTGCTCCCAGAAGACACGGTCAGGGTGCTGGCAGACAGGCTGAAATGAAAGAGCCATGGTCTCAGAAAAGCATATATTGTTCCCACCACCCACCACACTGCCTGGCCAGTGGCCCCAGGAAAGAGCAAAGGTAACAGGAGTGTAGTTCTAAGTCTAAGAGCATCTGAGCACAGCTTGTTTCTTATCTCTTTGTAATGACAGTCCTAAAGGGCAGTGGATAACAGCACACTCCCTCCTGAGTTGGAGGAGTAACCAAAATTGTCATTGACACAAAGCCTTTAACATTGTATTTCACAACACAGCAAGGAATTGACAAGGGGAGCTTCCATGGCACATCCAGATTTTGCTTTAAAATATTCATACAAAAGATTCAAAATGGGGGGGCGGGGCATGAGACAGGTCAGCAGTTAAGAGCAATGGCTAGTCTTGAAGAAGACCGAGGTTCGAATTCTAGCACCCACATGGTACCTAACAACTGTCTGTAACTCTAGTTTCAGGGGATCCGATGCACTCTTCTCTTCTGTCCTCTTTGGGCACTGCACAGCACAGATGTGCTTATAGATATGTAGACAATACACTCACACACATAAAAAAATAAAAATAAATCAAAAAAAGATCCATAACAAAATATGCATAGATGAACCCTTCTGAGGCTTCTAAATAGATTACACACTTTCTTCATTAAACTTGACTCCACATGTGAACAGTCTATCCTCCTGCCTCAGCCTCCACAGTGCTGGAGTTATAGGGGTGTGCCATCACATTAAACTGTTACTTACTGTGAAAGCAAACTTGGTTCACCTCATTTCAGTTCAGTTGCATTTTGTCAAGTTATGAACAAAACATAACCTATCTACTTTTCCACTCATTTATCCCTACTTCAGATTCTAAGCTCCACTAGGGGAAAATCCAAGCTAAAAGAAATTATGAAATTCATGCACATGTCACTGTAATATAATACATGCCACTGTGATAAAAAAATAAGTATACATTTCCTTTCTAAAGTAGCCTACCTTTTTAACTGTGACTGGAGATACGATGTTAAGCGTGTAGCTTCTTCCAGCTGCATAAGTAGACAATTTCTTTTTTCCTGAAGTAGAATTCTATAGATTAAAAAATGGTCAGTTGGTGAGTTTGAAAGGCAAAGAGCATATTATTTTCTTTCTTTCTTTCTTTTAGTCTTTCTTTCTTTCTTTCTTTCTTTCTTTCTTTCTTTTTTTTTTTTTTGGTCTTTTTGAGACAGGGTCTCCTGTAGCCCCAACTGGACTGGAACTCACTATGTAGACCAGGCTGACCTTGAACTCACAGAGATCTGCCTGCCTCTGCCTCCCGACTGCTGGAAAAAAAAAAGGCATGTGGCACCAGGCCCGGCTAAGAGTGTATTTTCATAACAAGAAATTCAGCTATAGGGGCTAGGAATGTAGTTTAGTGCTAGGCCCGGCTAAGAGTGTATTTTCATGACAAGAAATTCAGCTATAGGGGCTAGGAATGTAGTTCAGTGCTAGAATGCTTTCCCAGCATGCCTAATGAGCTAGATTCTATCCCCAGCACCATGTAGTAAAGAGGAAGGGAGAGAAAATTCAATTATAATTTCCCCAGAAGTAATTTAGGTTGAAATGATTATCAGTTATAAAGGCCTCTGTATCACAAATGACAAGATAATAAAAATGTTTTTGTTTTGTTTGGAAAATATAACCCTGGCACTCTGAGTAGAGCCTGAAATACTGTAGACTCTTGAAATAGGAGTAGATGGGGCAAATGAATTAAAGGTGAAGTGAACAGATCCATGTAAACACATGGATACATAGATAGGCAATTAGATAAGTGAGTGGGAGGACAGGTGGATGGACAGGGGATCCCTAAGACTCTATCAGGGGTCCCATAAGGTCCTGCTTCCCAACCATGTTATCTGTGCAAAATTTTCATATGTTCACCACAAATAACATAACAACAGGTCAAATGTTCTATCTAGACAGCCAGATGTTGAAAAAGTTTACTATAAAAGTGTTAAATAGCATTCATCTGGATCTATTTTTTTGCTTCAAAACAGTATTAGTCATAGCTTTTTATTTATAGTAAGGTTTTGTTATCTTTATCTTTTACTTCTATTTCTATGTGTATGCCTATTTTGACTGCATGTATGTAAGTGTACCACATGCATACAATGCCCACAGAGGTCAGAAGAGGGCACTAGATCCCCTGGAACTGGAGTTACAGCAGTTTGTTATCCACCATGTGGATGTTGGGTATCGAACCCTGGTCCTCTGGAAGAGCAAGTGTTCTTAACTGCTGAGGCATCTCTCCCAGCCCGTTATCTTTAATTGGGTAATAATGTCAAACAAACCAAAACCTTTTTGGGATTCCTTAGTAATATTTTAACACTAGAAGCAATATTTTCAATATTCTTCTTACTTATAATTTTTAAATTTTTATTTATTTTTATTTTATGTATAGGAGTGTATAGCTTGTATATATGTAAGTGCACAGGTACTCCATGTTGTGCAGTGCCCACAGGGGACAGAAGAGGGTGTCAGATTCCCCTGGAATTGATGTTATAGACAGTTGTTAGTTGCTATGTGGTTGCTGGGAATTGAATCCCAGTCCTCTGTAAGGGCAACCAGTGCTTTTAACAACTGAACCATTTCTCCAGCCCCTTACTTAAAAATTTTAAGGAAAACATTTTATTATTTGTACAAAGAAACAACTTTTCCAACACAATTCCCTCATGGGTAGATGTTTAATGTCACACCAGAAGACACATATGCGTGCAGGAGAAGGCCATTACACCCTTGAAATAATGTCCACACCTCACTTCTTATTGCTCATTTGATTCTATACCCATTTTACAGAAGAGGAAACTGACACTAAAGGAGTGAAAGTAACTTGCCTGGGCTATGCAAATTCCAAGCTTGAACGTAAAGTCAGGACACCTGTTCTTATTACGTGGCAAGAAGGGGGAGGGCATCATTTATTCATGAGACATTTCCCGGATTTTGTGTTATGCTTAAATTCCTACCTTAGGCTGAGCAATAGAAACAGCCACAAACTCTCATTTTTAATTTCTTTTCCAGAAAATAAAGAGTAATAAAAAGAAATTTTTACCTATGTCCCTCACTAGACTTTCCAACTGTAACTCTCTGTATGAATGACCCTGGAGCTGAGACAGGTAAACACTGGGTCCTGGTCATTTAGCTACCCCAACTCAGTCAGAAGATGATAGCATCAGTCCCATTGTCCCACCTTCCACCCTGGGGTCTAGCACCCTATAGACTGTGATGGGAGAAGCACCTCATGGGTGGGAAGCAACACTGGGAAATGTGCCCAGCATCTACTATGCACAAAATGTCAAGAGCTGTAGGATCCTTCTGGTGCCTTTGGTTTCATCTCATTTCTCTGCAGAGCCCTCAAAGTATAATGGAGAAAGGCACTTATCATGTATGCTCCCCTGGTGGCCAAGGTCATATAGAGGAAGACTTAGGAAATTTATGTGGGTCCATTCAGCTCTGATTGAAGGCTCTGGGTCCCAGAAACAATCACACAGACTGGTCCCACAAGAGACCACCATCTAGATGAAAACTAGTCCAGCACTGTTCTATCCTTTGTACCTAGGCATCAGAGCTAAACTTAACACTAGCCAGGGAGCTCTGTGGATGTACATCCTGTGACCACAGCATTGGCACACACTGAACCTCCACAGGGGAGGCAGTTACAGTCAAGGTTGTGTGGGTGGTGTTTCCAGAGAATTATCTGTGAACCAAGACCAACTCCTGAACTGAGACTAATGAGAACTCCAGGCCTTCCTATCCAGAACATACAACAGAGAATACAGCGGCAGAATAGAAGCCAACCTTTAACTAAGAAATCACAGAAACCCAAGATTACAAAAGAAAAGTTCAGTAAGTATTGTTCCTTTTAAAATTCATACTCAGGGGGCTAGAGAGATGGCTCAGCAGTTAAGAACACTGATTGTTCTTGCAGAAGACTCAGGTTCGAATCCAGCACCCACATGGCAGCTAACAACTGTCTGTAACTCCAGTTCCAGGGAATCAGACAGCCTTTTCTGTCCTCTGTGGGCATTGCACGACACAGATGTGCTTACCTACATGCAAGCAATACACACATACATATAAAATAAAAATAATAAGATATTTAAAAAAAATAAAATAAAATAAAAAATAAAATTCAGACTCAGGTGCTGGAGAGATGGCTGTTCTTGTAGAGGACCTGGGTTAAATTCCCAGCATCCACTTGGCAGCTAACAACTGTCCATAACTCCAGTTTCAGGGGACCCAACGCCCTCTTCTGGTGTCTGTGGGCTTTGCACAACATTGGTGAACTTACATACATTCAGGCAAAACAATAATAGTCACAATAAATAAATAAAATTAAAAAAAATAAATTCAGATTCAGCTCTAGGCGACGCATATTGCTCATTACGAGAGTCTGAATTCTCCAAGCCCCACCACTTTCTTGCAATGGTGCCACAAGTCCCTAAAGATTACCCTAAAGATTAGTGAATATCCAAACACCCATATTGCCCAACCAAACAAGAATGTTCAGAAGATACGATGAAATAGTCACTGCATGCATCTGTATAGATCAAATAATTCTGGTGACTTAAACTCTAGGTAGAGAATGACCAGAGAGATACAGTTTAAGATCATGTCAATGAATTGGAGGGAGTCAGCATATTAACAAATGAGAGTAGGCTCCCCAAAGCTCAGCAGATAGCCACAGATAAACCACTGACAGCTGTTAAATGTGGAAAGCAGACCCAGCCTTCGGCACACTCCGCAATCACAGGCGGCAAATGGAAACCAGGAGATGCGGCACACGATGAAAGGCTGAGCAACTTGGCATCAGAGAATACAAAAGACACTGGCTTCACATGTCCTGTGCTTGAAAGAGTCTCCAGAGTAATTGAGGAGAGGCACGTTCAGAAATGGACTCATAAAAGGCTACTGGTTTCCTACTGCAAAAGAAAGAGCTGGCTTCCCCGGCTAGAAATCAAAGTCAGAGCTAAAAGCAGTAGGGAGACACCCACAATGCTACAAGGAGCAATTCTTCAAGCCCATCTTCCTGCCATTGCCTCCAAGCCCACCTAGAGCACTGTTCTGCAACTGCAGGCGGAAGTCGCAAGCACTAACACCAGAAAGGGTCTAGTGTAAATGGCGCATCGCTTGTCCTCCTTCCTTCTCTCTACCACCTACCACTTCTTTATGTGTTTGCTTCTCTTTTTCTGGAGATAAGATTTCACTCCGTAGCCCACTATGAAACTCTGAAATTTTGTAACAAAAGCTGGTCTTGAACATGAGGCAACCCTCCTGCTTCAGCCTCCACAGTGCTAGGATTATAGGCTTGAGCCACCATGCCTGACTTTCATGCCCTAGTTCTGAGAAGGCGCCAGGAGCCTTGGGAGTCTTCGGAAGCAGCTGGCACTTTCATGAGACAGAAAGCACATGCTCCTACCTCCTGTGCACTCAGTAAGGAAGCATGCCAGATGGTACCTGATTTCAGTAGAGGTCGAACACTCCTGATCTGGCAGTCCCAAATCGGAAGAGCTGTAGAATTCTAAACTGTCTAGTTACATAAGTAATGCTTAAGAAGTATGGGATTGAGGAGCATTTTAGATTTTATATTTTCAGATTAGGAAGGATCAATGTATCTAATCTATGCAAATATTAAAGAAAAAACCCTCTGGCCCCCAATACTATACTTGTGATCCCAGCACTTGGGTAGTAGAGGCAGGAAGATCAGTTATACAAGACCAGCCTTGTCTACATAGCACCTTGGAGGCCAGCCTGGGTACACAAGACCCTATATCAAAAAATGAAGGAAGAAACAAAGGGAGGAGGAAGGAGATAAAAGAAAGAGAACAGGAGGGAGGGAAGGAAGGAGAGAGGGAAGGAAGGAGGGAGGGAAGGAAGGAGGGAGGGAGGGAGGGAAGGAGAGATAGAGAGGCCAGGCATGGTGGCATACACCTTTAGTCCTAGCACTCAGGAGGCAGAGGCAGGAGGATCTCTATGAGTTCAAGGCCAGCCTGAAAGGCAGTTGGAGCAGAAAGCTGAGAGATCACATCTTCAATCACCCAAAAAGATCAGAAAGAGAGAGAGAGAGAGAGAGAGAGAGAGAGAGAGAGAGAGCAGGACTGGAGCTGTATCTCAAGGACAGAGGGCTCACTTAGCATTCAAAATGAATAAAAATAACAATAACAAATATTAAAACATCATATATGAAATCCTCAGAAAGAAATTTAAATACTCTAGGGACAGGGAGATGGCTTAGCTGATAAGGCACCTGAAGCCAAGCCTGATAATCTGTGTTTGATTTCTGGGACCCACAATGTGGAAAGGGAGAATGGACACCTGCAAGTTGTCCTGTGACCTCCACATGTATACTGTGTCTCCCACGCAATCACACATATACACTCATATTGACAAAATAAATAAAATGTAATAAAAAATTTTAAAGTATATGGGCAGCACAAATTGGAAATGATGTTTTTTGTTTTGTTTGTTTGTTTTCAAGAGGACACAAAGTTGGGTGGATAGGAAGTGGGGTAAGTGTTGGGAGAGGGAAGTGAGTATAATCAAAATACACTGTATGAAATTCCCAAAGAACTAATAAAACTTTAAAATAAAATACTCAAGAATTGGAAGCACTTTCAGGTTCAAGCATTTCACACAAAGACTGTTCAACCTGCTCCAAGAACATGCTCAAACCATATACAAGTCATTCATTTAGTTTTTCTAGTTGGTGCTTCACTGGAAGTGTTTTCTTTACGAAAAACCTAGGAATTCCAGACCCAACTTGAACCCAGTGCTGTGGAATATGAAGTTTGGCACCCATCTGCCCCTTAAGCCTGGGAGGGCCGCCTACCTTTCTGTGGCACCCTGCACAGATGTGGCCCGGGCGCACTGGATCTCTTCCTCCAGGCGCCTCCTCTCCTCCTCCAGCCGAGCCACGTCTTCTCCTGACCTCCGTTGCTGAATAATAAGCTGCAGTTCTTGCAATAGGGCCTCCTTCTCTTTGATGAGCTGCAGCCGGTCCCTGTCAGCCTCGGCCATGCCTGGCCATGACTCATTAGCCAGCTGGGCGAGCTGCTGCTGAATATTGGAGACTCTGGAAAAATGACAGCGAGAGGGTTAGGGAGATAGGAATGAACAAAAAATCTCTTCTGCTCACATTCTCTTCACCATAACTGACTCTGTAAACTCACTCGGTTAAATAAGTGGTGAGATAATTGCACCGACCTTCAACTTAATAGCATTTGGAAATGATGGGTCATGAAAACAGTGCTAAAGTTCTTTATGTAATCTCTTCTCATCTGAGCTCTGAGATGAAAATAATTACCTCATGCTTGTTTCAAAGAACTGACAAAAAAAAAAAAGGCTAGCAATCCTCAACACTCAACATGCCTATACCATGTCTTGTTCTGGCTTCCTATCTGTGTGATGCCATCCTGAGAGGAAGGAAGCTGTTCATGTCTCCCCAGCATCAGTAGCTAAACACTGTTCACTCAAGAGCTGCTTCTGCTTTCTGCTCTCTGTCCACATCCTCCCAAACCAATCCCGTTAACCCCCCTCCCACTCACCCCCATACTCCTCTTTACCCCCCACCCCTACCACTGCCTTGGCCAAGCATAAGCACTAACAGGCACACTGGGAAAATAACTGGTGGGAAACGCACCCACCATGCCTGTTTCTGAAAAGATCAGCTCTGGGTCCCAGACTCCATGTCTGTTCCTTCCTGCCCCAGAGCCAGGTGGGAATGCAAAGTGCCTTATGATGGGGCAGGCACTCAACAAAAGTTGAATGCATAAACACTTCCATGGCCCTGGATTTCCAAGTGTTTGCCTGGCAAACAGACCTCATCACATTTTGTGCCCTGAAGTGGTGTTGAATTCAGAGTAAGTGAAGTAGACACGTCTCATGCTTTGAAAGTGTCCTTAAAAATGTGGGGAAAAAAAGTGAGGAGGATGTTTTAGATAAAAGTTCTTTACGAAAAACCTAGGAATTCCAGACCCAACTTGAACCCAGTGCTGAGAACATAAGTGGCAGACACAACACAGGCCTAAGGCAAGGCCTTGTCAAAAGTGGGGCTTTAGGACTGGCACCACAGGATTACCTTGGAGTTGTTACAAAGGTAACCACCAGGCCCCACCCCAGATCTGCTGACTCCAACACGATAGGGTTTGTGGTCCTAGCAAGCACTTCAGGACCTTCTGCCCTTCTCCTAGGTTGAATAGTCAGCACTCCCAGCAGCTCTGCCTGGTCAGGAAAGTGCTAATTGACGTTGGAGGTTTAGGGGTTTTAGGATCTGGCAGAATGACGTTCTTTACTAAAATGGCAATGGCAGAAGCAGGGCAGGAGTGCTCATAAGACTACCTACCCTACCTCCCATGCCCAGGACACATGGCACTAACCACGTAAGGCTTCCTACACTGGGTCCAGCCCTCAGAATCCTTCTCAACCCTAAGCTCCTCACAGATGCCACCGATTGACTGCAAACCACATGCATTAAATAAACCACGGTCTGGCCCTGTACCAGATGAAGCTGTGCATCATCTAGATACGCCCACAAGGACTCACCACTCAGGCTACAAAATTGGACAGGTCTCCTCCAGGTACAGAACCAACCTGAAAGTCCTAGTCTCAGAAAGAAAAGGGTCTGCAGGCTAGAGCGTAAATGTATGCATTTTACTCAAACCAGTCCTCCAAGAAGGTAAGGACACTACTTGCACATCAGTAGCTTGATTAGATGAGTTGTTTTCTAACTTAAAACTAATTTCCTGAAAATGGGTTGGAAAATGATGCAAAATCACGTCCCTGAAAAAACAAAATGTCAGAGGGAGCTGAACAGGGCTTAAGTGTCCACTTATGTCTAATTAGTGGAATTAAAATTTATGACAGTCATAACTGAAGCCTAAAGAAAACACACTCCAAGAATGTCCATAAATAACTCAGTGCCAAATCAGATGTTATACCCAGGGAAATTTATGGACTAGTCTACCATAAGCCACAACAAAGGTAAAGAATAAATATAAAATTCTTGAAGAAAAATGAGAAAATTTACTATCTCTTTCCATTTTTTTTTCATTTCAGTTTATCTGATCCTTAGGAAAGCCTGTTCAAACTAAGCTAAAGCTGTCACACGATAAAAACAGACGCATTCTTGAAAGCACTCCTTTTGAATCTCTGAGAGATGCGGGTGTGTTTGTGCGCACGCGAGCGTGTGTGTGTGTGTGTGTGTGTGTGTGTGTGCGTGTGCGTGTGTGCGCATGCATGTGTGTATGTGTGCATGTGTATGTGTGTGAGGAGTAATAGTAGCAGCAGCAGCAGCAGTAGCGGCAGTAGTAGTACTATAGGATTCCTATGCATCATATACGCTAAGCAAGCTAGACTCTGAATCCAGTTTTCCTGAGGTTTAGATAGAAGAGATCAAGATTCCTTTTGAGCCTGCCAGTTCTAGGCTAGCAGTTGTCTACAAGGATTCAGCTTGCTGAGGGTGGTAGAGGATCCAGTTCCAGAAAATTTTACCCTTTCCAGGAAAATCTCAACTGATGTACATGATCTAGAAAAAATACTGAAGGGAAAAACGAATTCCAGCAAAGACAGAAGCATGGTGCAGTTTTCAAAAAGCCTGCTCACACCAGGCATAATAAAACAGCCAGAGCTAAACCACATAATAAAACTTTTCATAACTTACAGGAAAAACATGCTAGAACATATGGGAAGGACCAACCTTCTAGCAGAAACAAGATCCGGATGAGGATGATTTCTTCCCATCCGTCTGAAAGAGCTGTTTGGGCTATACAGAACACTAGGCAAAACATTTCTGTACTTAAGCATGGTGCTTTGTTAAGTACAATTTCACAGTAATGCAAATGCTTGCAAGCTCCTTTTCAAGCTGCCTTTGGATCTAACATATTGGCATATTGGAAAAGGCAATCTCCTTTGATACTATACTCTGGTTGTAGACCTTTGAGCCCCCACCAGCCAGGTCCAGAGAAGCTCACCTGTCTGTGGTCAGTCCATCTCTTCTGGAAGCCAAAAGCACTAAAAAAAAGTTTCCTCCAACAACTGACTGGCTGCTAGCACAGTCCCCTGGCCTTTTCAGCAGCAGTGCCTTGCCGAGCTACAGGCCTGGAACATAGCCACAGACAGGGAGCATCCTTAGTACTGAAGGTTTCCATGAGGAAGCAGACTTCCTGCCTGAGGCAAAACACAGATGTGCCCAGGGTCTGTGCACCTTCTTCTAGATCAGTGCCAAACAGCTGATCCACCACTTAAGTCCCATTCCTAGGAGGGCCATCATTTCAATTCTGAGCGTTAAAGGGAAAAGCGATTTCCAGAAAGGCTTTTCTTTGAAGTATTTCAATGAAGTTAAATACTTGGAAGTAAAGCACGGTCGTGATGAAAGTTTTAAGAAAAACATAAAAGTTTTCCAAGTTAATTTTTAAAAGAGACCTGAAAACCACTTTATTTCTTGTGTAGGTTACTGCCTGCTTTATTGATTCTTCTTTTCAATTGGTAAGAAATCTTGTGGCCTATATATAATCTTTCACAAATGCCTTTGAATGCTTCAAAACATGTCTCCATCTGCCTTGATAGTGAAGACGTGAGAGGAAACACTCACTTCAGGTTTCATATTTATTATGCGATTTCTAAATTCTAGTCCCTGAGCAGGCTGTTAATACACACCCAAGTAACATGAAATATTTTTCACTTCTGATATCTGCCCACATGGTGCTTCTGTTACAACCGAGGCATATTAAACCATGAATAGAAACCTCTATTTATGCTGCAGAATCTACTCAGATCCACACAATCCATGTGGAAATCTTAAATACTTTACATTTTTCTAGGAATACTATATATTTAATATTTAAAACTTTTGAGGCACATCAAGAGTAATCCCCAATTATACTTAAAATCTGCAGTCTTCTGTATAATTTCTCATGGTTCTAAAATCCTGTGGCAGTCTCTGGAATAGCAAATAGAAGTTCAGATAGCCTACCATTCCATTTGATGACAAGTCATGACAGATCCTAGTGCTATATCCCAAGATGTGGTTTCAACTTAAAAACTTGTGCCTTCAGATGTCAATTCTAGGCACAGATTTGGTATTTCCTACATTTTCATTTAGTTAGTTTGTTAATATTTACTTTTATGAAAGCAGGGCTTAAAGAAAATCTTGGTTGGGATCTAAGGTGGATGGATGATGGCATTACTTTAGCAGATGAACTAATATTGATAAGTCAGTGTGCCTTCCACCTAACCTCTACCCGTGAAATTCAGGAAGTCTACATCTAAAACACACGGAGCACGAAGTGTCTGTGGATATACTATTGCCCCAGCAAATCCTCAGCTGCCCTCCCTCACATGTTTTTCCCTTGAGAAGGATAGATCTTTAGAGAGCAACTTCCTAAAATAAAAAGCAAGTCTTTTGGTCCCTTATCTTCACCCAACAGGAATGACGGACCTACAATGGAAAAGATGCTTTTCTTTCTTTCTGAAAGCCCATATACAAAGTCACTTGAGAAGGGGAAATCCAAGTGACTAACCAAATTCAACTGGAATCATACTACTACTGATTCCTGACAACTGATGAACACCAGGACCAATCTTGGCAGCAAAACCAAAGGCACAAAGGAACTGGATGCACCAAATGTTTTGTTCCTATCTGAGCTGAGTGTTTCTATGGCAACAGCTACAAATTGTGCACACTGCTGGAACAAGTGCTCTTAGGTTAAAAATAAGGAGCCATCTGCGTCATCAGGATTGCTTCAAGAAAACTTGTTCCTCCAACTTTAAAAATATTCCAAAGTTTTAAAACCATAATTGAAAATATTCCTACTATAAGGTCTGTCTTAAGAATTCACAGAGACATGACAGGCGGAAAAGGCAGAAGCAGTCCTTTTGGTACATTTCACATTACCCATAGTTCAAACACAAAACTGGTTACTCTAACAGTGGTAGTTTGGTCAGAGAATTCTCCAGAAATCACACTACCACTTAGCATTATAATTCCACTTCCAGAGACCTCCTTTAAATCTGAGCATACAGGAAACCCTTTGTTGTCCAGAACTCTGCATTTTGATAATTTTCTATTTTTTCTAG